TCCTTTTACTCATATTTTACTCATAAGAGTACCACATACTTTATTTCTACTAATGGTTATATATTTTATAGTCAGAATATTTTGTATGGTTCCACTAGTGAGAATTGTCCTAATAAAGATATGTATGTATGGAGGTCTCTCGGTAGAGGGCGTAGAGGTCATTTCACAGTTTTCTGATATCTACAATTTACCTATATGTTTTTTTATTTTTCGTCGTCTTTCTCGGCTTCAGTTTTAGCTCCCATATTATAGTGTATTAGATACATTTTCGACTAGAATATAGCGGAAGAAAGTAAATGTCCAGTTGATGATGCCGATTAAAGCCTGGACTCCCTGTTGATTGCATAGGATAATCTCACACAAAGATTTAACGAGCTTACCATCGAGTTCGTTCACGTTTCTAATAAAATGCGAAAAGAACAACAAGTACTTAGGGCCGTCGCTCGCACTTACCCATCTCCCAAAATGGCGGTATCGGGAGCCATACCAATACCCAGTGCAAGGCATTTGAAGGATTGAAGTCAGAAGGTGATGAAAAATCCAATGGATTCCGATTTAGAGGACGAAATTAATGTGAGGAAGAAATGTGACTTATCTGAATCTGATGGAGAAGAATAGTGCCAAACGGAAATGTCGGCCCCTCTGAGGTATGCACCCCGTGAGAAAAACTATAGCAACTTAAGAGTGAAAATGGATATCCCTTTTTTTATGGGCACCTGCACATTGAATATTATCTCGATTGGGAACAATCAGTTGAGAAATTCTTCGAGTATATGAAAATTCAGCCAAAAAGGCAGGTGTGTTGCTTGTAAATTAAAAGAGGGAACATCTGTGTGCTGGTTAATATTACTGCAAAATCTCAAGCCAAAAAAGAAAGGGGCAATCCTCAGCTGCTTCAGAATAAAACAGTTTCTATGAGGGCATATTTTACCCATGGATTTCAAACAAATGCTTTATATGCAATATCAGCATTGCTCTTAAGAAATAAAATATCTTAGTGATTACACTGAAGAATTCTATAGACTCAGTGCTCGGAACAATCTTAACAAATCCCACAACTAGGTGGTAGCACGATATATTAGCGGATTGAAGGATGCAATTCAAGATAAGCTGGAATTAAATTTTGTTTGGTATCTTTCACAAACTGAAAATTGCATATAAAGTTGAGTCACAACTCCATCGACGTGTCAGAGGGAAAGTGATGCGGAAAACACCTTATGAGCACTCTGAAGATGGCAGCAGAATTTTGAATTCCTACATTAAATCGAGCTCCCTTCAGCACCAATTCACTGCTTCCTATAAAACCAAAGCATGTGCTGACACCAAACCCATAAATAAGCCCTAGGCACCAGTTAAAGAAAACCCTTATCTAAAACCTACAAAACCAAAGTGTTTTCGATGTTTTCAACCTGATCACAAGTCCAATGAATGCCCATCCGAACAGCAGTGCAGCTCTTGGAAGGCGAAATTGAAGATGATTAAATGAACCTCATAGCACAAAAAATGACGAAGTGGTAGAAGTGCTGGAAGATGAAAAACAAACTTTAGTGTTCATTCTAGAGAAGTTGCTAATAGCTACAAGGCAACCTACAACCTCCCAAAGACAAGCTATTTTCCAAACTAGATGCTATAAATGGTAAGATTTGTGACCTACTCATAGACGGCAGTTGCACTGAAAATATTATAAGATTAGTTGGGTAAAGAAGGGTGTTAATATATTAGTTTTGGATATGTGTCAAATCACTTATTCCATTGGGAAGCATTTTGTATGTGAAATGCTTTGCGACGTTTTGAAATGGATGTTTGCCATCTCATATTGGGCAGACCATGGCAATTTGAAATGGGTGTCATTTATGATTGTCGTCAGAATGTTTATGCATTTAAGTTGAAGAGTAGAAAGCTCAAGCTCATGTCACCTGTTTCTCCAGTTCCTATGAACTTATCCAACAGCAAAATATGTTGTTAAGGGTGCTGATTTAGTTAGTTCATACAAGGAAGCATCTGCTGTGCATGCTCTTGTGGTTTCTGAAATAAATTTAGAACTTGACTCCACTGCCCTACCTGAACCAATTCAAAAATTACAGCAGCAATTCAGCAAAATATGCCCAGCTGAACTCCCTCCAAAACTCCCACCGCTGCAAGCCATCCAGCACGAAATTAATTTCTCTCCGGGTGCTACACTACCCAGCCCGCCACACTATAGAATGAGCCCAATAGAACACCAGATCCTGCAAAGAATTGTAGATTTACTGGTAAAAAAACAGTTGATACAACACAGTTTCAGTCCTTGCGCCGTCCAGACACAACTTGTACCTAGGAAAGAAGGGAGCTGACACATATATAGACAGTAGAGCTATTAACAAGATTACTATCACATATAGCTTCTCTATGCCGTGGTTGGAAGACATGCTCGACAAACTGGTTGGGTCTACAATATTCTCTAAACCAGATTTATGTAGTGGGTATCATCAAATCCTCATCCGCCTTGGTGACAAATCGAATGCATCCTTTAAGCCCATAAAGGTTTGTATGAATGCAAGTTCATGCCCTTCAAATGTGTAACGCACCAAGTACTTTCATGAGGCTCATGAACGAGATACTTAAATCATTTATGGGTTATTTCTCTGTTATTTATTTTGATGACATATTAGTCTATAGCACTTCTATTCATGAGCACGTTCAACGCATAACCAAGATCTTTCAAGTTCTCCAAGTTCATAATTCAATGTGCCAAAATGTGAATTTGCAACTCCACAAGTTCATAGTTTTGGCCAGTGGGAGTCAATTCAATCCTTGCAAGGTTGAGGCTATTCAACAAGGGCCAACACCAAAGCCTTTTTATAATATTCAAAGATTTCATAATTTGACAATTTTTTACCACAGACTTATAAGGGGTTTCAGCATGATAATGGCGCCAATAACCGATTGCCTCAAATCCAACGTCTTCTAGTGAACCAATGGCGACAGAATAGTTTCAAGGAATAAAAACGACCCTTGGCACCGCTCCAGTACTTAACCTTCCCAACTTCTACAAGCCATTTCATGTGGACACAGACGCCACAGCAATAGGGTTTGGAGCAGTCCTGTCCCAAGAAGACCATCAGATTGAATTTTCAGAAACAAAGTATCGCTAGACAGAAGTAATCGGTATATAAGTAGGAACCCTATGCCGTGGTACATGCACTCAAACAGTGAGCACATTATCTTCTCCATCAAGACTTTGTTCTGCGTAGTGATCATCAAGTACTAGAATTTCCCAATCACAGAAACATTAATTGAATGCATGTCAGTCGGGTACTTTTTCTACAAAAGTTTAGTTTTGTGCTTAAACAGAAATCTGGTTCTCAAAATTGAGTTGTTGACGCCCTCAATAGACGTCAACGCTCCTTACTACCTTACAAAATAATAACTTGGGCCTAGAATATTTAAAAGATTTGTATTGGACTGACAAAGATTTCTCTGAAACCTATCTGTTTTCATTTTTTGTTGTCTCTCACATTTTCAGTTTTAGCTCCCATGCTAATCTTACTCAATACTAAAAAGATGGTTTGTTTGATGCCAAAGTTCCCATGGGAACATGATTCAAGGCAATGTACACCAAGGAGGGTCTTCTTTCTAAGGCCATTTCATGTTATTCATCATAATTGTTTAAACAAAAAAAATCCTTAGAGGAATGATGGGAACGACTTAGACTAAGAAGATGTGAAAGATAAAGATTAGAGGGGGAAGATAGACAAAAAAATCTTACTCGATACTAAATTGAAAAAAAATTGAGAGAAGAATACAACAAAATTTTCATATTCACAAGATTGAAGCGACATAATAGGACATACAAACAAATTAGAACAAAAGAATACTAAATAAATAAATAGGATCACAACCAACCACATGATAAAAAAAAAGAAAAAGAAAGGGAAAATTTTGGCTATTCAATTGAACAATAAAGCTAGAGAAAAATTCACTTTAAGGACTACAGATGGAAAGTAAAAACTATTCAAATTGTTGAGCAGTAGTGATAATTAGCAGTTGCTCCAATCATGCAAATTGTTTAATTAGGCATTAGTACGATTTTCAGACTTCACCGTGACATCTAATCTTAATGTTAATTTCCGAGTTGCTAAATAAATAAAACCACTTAGTTGAATGCATAATTCTATTAAAGTTGCTCATAGTTCCATTCTTCATAGACAAATAACCCAATAGAGAACACTATCTCCATCAGCACGCCCACATTAAAAATTATTTATTTAGATATGTAAATTAAAGGTGTAGTACAGACCTCCCCTGATTACAGAATAGAAACCAGCCTACGGTTAACTTCTAAAAGCAGAGGTATTCAAACCAAGTACTCAAGGCTTCAGAAACCAACTTCTAATAGCAGAGGTATTCAAACCAAGTACTCAAGGCTTCAGTTCTTTTCCTAGCCTCGCAAATGTTCCAAGATAATGAGTGGAGAGATAAGCAGGCAATAATAACAAAATAATTTTTTTTTTAAGCATTTACATACATACCACTCAATTCCTAGTTATTTACATATCTAACACCTAATCTTACTTTTTTACATTTATAGCACCAAATCTTTCATATCACATCAAAAATGGCACCATTTTAAATTTTAAAAAGTAAAATACACCTACGTATGCATAGGTAAGGTGGTATGAATGTAAAAAAAGAAGTATAGTTGTTAGATAAGTAAATGCATAAAAATTAAGTGGTATGTGTGTAATTCTTCCAGTTTTTTGACATATTTAAAATGAACCAAATGCATCCACAATCAAGAATGAAAATAAAACATTGGACAGTCAAAGCAATAAGGGAACCAGAGACCCCATTCGTCAGCGTAAAAGAGGACATTTGCACTAAACAGGTTCAACAGACAAGATAATGCAAGCTAGAGCACAGAAAATCTAATTAAATAAACTGCAGGTGACCATTAATGGATTCCAAAACTAATAGATTTAAATCTGAAAGATTCTTAACTAATGTACAAGGATACACACCTCTCATCATCACTTTTAACTTCAACGTCGGAGTCGTCAGCATCTATGCTCCGGGGAACAATTCGATTCTCGGTATCTCTTTTTCCTCCTAGTTTTCAAGAGTGTGGGTGTGGGATGAACTCAAATAAGACCATCTTGCTCAAAATAAAACAAAACCAATTTTCTTAAAAAATATTTAAAGATATCAGTCCATGGTTAAGCAATTCCCACCTTCAAGGAGAAGCTGCCCTGTCCCCGCGCCTTTCCTCCTATCCCTATCCTCTGGAATCACAGCAAAAAAATTATAAATTTTAGTAGCTGTCCAGGGACTGAAGCACGATATAAAAACGACAAAGATGACAATTAATGACAGCGTAAGATATAAATCTTGGTAGAGCACTTCTAATAGGATTTAGCACTGAATTTAACCTAAATCCAGCTAAACGTGAAATTGAGGGATGCTAAATCTGGGGCTCCCGTAAATCAACGTAAATCCCGGACTTACAAAATCGACGGATTCGGAACAACCCACTGTTTTCTATAGACTTAGTACGATTTAGTACCTGTGAAAAATATTTTTTGTATGCTTGTCGTGACAATTCAATTTATCAACCTATAGGATTTAACCTAAATCCAGCAAAAAGAAAAATTGAGTGATGCTAAATCTGGGGCTCCCATAACTCAACATAAATCCTGGATTTAGGAAATCCACGGATTTGGTACTGCCCACTTATTTCTAAATACTTATTACAATTTAATATCTGTGAAAAATATTTTTTTTGTTCACTAGTCGTAACAATTCAATTTATTAGGATAATCTTGGAACTGCTAGTAAGAGATCAGAAGAGATTAGGATAATTTAAAGGGGTTATTAGCACTCCATACTCAAAATTTAAAACTCAGTAAACCACTCATACTCAAACAGGAACTTAGGATGACTTTTTCACAAAATCAGATTCGTTTAGTTTTTTTTACATGTATAAATACCATACAAAATAAATGTTCATATTCACTTAATCTTAGAGGGGAGTCTTTTTTAAAATAAGGCTAATTGAATATGGTTAGCTTTGAGGAAGTTGCGAGCAATGACAATCACACTACAACTGATAAACATAACGATATGATTATCCATAAAATAATAGGCAATGCGCATATGAAAAATGATATTCCAAGTATTCACGAATCCTCAAATGTCAACTAACTAAACTTTGTCAGTTATGCTACTAACATAAGAGAAAAGAAAAAAGAAATTGGTATTACTTCCCTAATCTATTATTTGAAATTGATCATAGTTATGATTTTTCTATGAACTTAACTTTACTATTGTTAAACATCCTGTTGTGATGAAGAAACTTTTAAAAGGAAAGTTAATTCAATATGAAGGCTCTAGTTCAAAGTCGTCACTTGATGAAATATTTACATCATTTATGGAAAGATTAAAAGTGCAACTAGAACACCAAAATGACAGGAAGAACATAAAGCTATTCTTGTGGAGTTGCTTTTCGAACAATTTTAATGTGGAAATATGTTTAATGGTAGAACAAGAAGGTTGTGATCGATGCATTAAATAAAGGATTAGGCACAACTTACACAGAGACATTGGTAATGACTCGCTTCAATAAATATGAATGTAAAATTTGGGAAAAAAACTCTACATATAAGTTATCATATTAGTTATATATTCCAAATTACTAAAATATTATAATAAAATTTAAGAAACAAATTTATAGGTTAACCCAAAATTGGAATGATTTTGAAGGAATTCTTTCCAATAAGATATTTTTGAGAGAGTCTATGCGGACAATACAGCAACCGTTAATGGAGTCATACATTCCAGCAACACTCTCCAAGTCTGATTGAAGAAGAGAAAATTACTATGCCTATTCATGATTTTATGGTCATGCATGAAGTAAGTTATCTCAATGAGTTGGATGTGCTCAGTCCATAACCAGGTGTTCAATTAGATGAAGATGTCAACGCGCAACAAGCATCGGTCAATTGAGTGGTAGCAAACGATCATCCGTAAACATCTGTCATAACAAACGGCCTAATAAAAGAAGAGCAAATCCAGAAAACAGGAAAGTATTGCTAGAGGCAGTCAATAAAAATGCACAGCTATTTCAGAAAATTGTGGACTGTCATTCTCCATACACAACTGTTGAATGTTTGGCGAAGCTTGGCAGTATTCCAAACATTTTCAATGAAGCTATTATTACGGTTCATGAAGTATTAAAAGAGGACAATGCTAGCAAAATTTTTTTGATGACTTCGAACAGGTCAAGGATACACAGTTAGATTGAATTTAAACTTGAGTCTTATCCTTGCTTGTAAATATATCCAGCTTGGGTGTGATAAAAGTATTTTAGTGTGTTATGTTTGCTGTATTGTGTCAATATTTATTTTATCTTTCGGAAAACCTCTGTTAATGTCATTATATATGTACTCTGTGCTTCTTTTGAAGAATAAATTCATTCTCATGTGATAATATCATGTTACTTGCTTTTTCTTATAACAGAAATTATGGTCCAATTAAAGGTTGATATTTGTGGAACTTGTATCTTTATAATACTTGGCCTGAAGAACATTTTTTTATACCTGTGTGAATGATATCTCTTATTCTATTAAATAGCTGGAAGCTTTATGAGCTTTATCTTGTACAACCTATGCATTTAAGTATGCCCTCCATCAATATCATTAAATCTGAAATAATGTTTAGTTCAATTAAAGTTAAATTCAATTAAATCTATTTGAGGTGTTGGGCATAAATCTATTTGAAATATTTTTTTCTTGTGCTAAATCAGTTAAATCCAACTAATAAGTGGATTTAATAAACCCAGATTTAATTAACAGAACAAGCAAAAATTGAATTTAACTTAACGGCGGATTTATCTAACCTAATTATGGTGTTTGGCTGGATTTAAGTTAACTCTAACTTAAATCTTATTAAAAGTCTCGTAATCTTACAGGATAAACTAACATAAGAAATAGCTGAAATAGACAGAGAAGGATTTCCAAAAACGCTTCATACCTGTATAAGATTTATCTTTAGAGGAAAAATGCCTCCTCTCTCGTTCCTCCAACTCTTGTCGGAGGTTCCTCCTCTGCAACTCGTCCTGGGTATCCTGTCCATCCTTTCTGAAACAACGAAAACGCCGATCATCATCAGAATTTAAGAGCAAGCATACCTCCGATTGTGAAAGAAACAAGAAGGACCAGATCTAAACCTATGAATGTGTAGGATTAGGGTTCGCTCAGTCAAAGAAGGAAGACAAACCTAGGTTTCAGCGACGTATGGGAAGCGAGATCCCTGGAGGAGTACTTTTGCGAAGGGCCGAAAATTCGCGTTCCTCCCTGCTCGTTTCCGCCTTTCGCCGGAGCCCACGTCGGTCTTGCCGCCGTCGTCATCTCTCTGCCCGATATGCAAACAAGACAGAAGACAGAAAGAGAAAAAGAGAATACCACCTTGAGTTTTTATTTTTTAATTTTCATTTGAGGACTTTACAGGCATACCACTCCATTTTTATGTATTTACATATCCAACATCAAAACTATCTTATCACATACAAATTAGGGGAAAAATTTTGAGTGTGATAGACGTACGCAGCGCTGCGTACGATATTGTGGTTATACCGAGGGTAGAAGTGGGTTACATTCGCGGTATAACCCATTGTAAGCTCCCTGTAACCTTCTGTAACCTACCTGTAACCTAAAATAAGTTTCGCGTTTCTATTATCATATATTAAGAATTTATCAGTAGTTTACAGGTAAGTTACAGAAGATTACAGGAAGGTTACAAAGGGTTATACTGCGGATATAACTCCCTTGTACTCTTGGTATAACCTCAATATCGTACGCAGCGCTGCGTATGTCTATCGCACGCAAATTTTTCCCAAATTACGGGTTTAATGCTCGTATTTGGCTCGTTAAAAAATATCATTATTCGTGATCAACTCGTTAATATATAGAGCCCAAAAAATGTGTTTGTATTCGGCGCATTTGCTAGGCGAGCTGAATACGAGTTGTTCGCGAACAACGAATCATTTTGACAATCTTGGTCACGCAACTGTAAGATATTAAGGGTAGCGACGAGATTTAAGTATTATTATTATATTAAAGTATTCATCTAATAAGAATTTGCTATATTTTTATTCCATTTTTTATTAATAATTTTATTTGATTATAAATATTTGTAGCATTTGAGTCAATTTAATTATTTAAAAATAATACTTGTCAATTATCTATATTCGTGTTCCGCTTGTTTATATATGGAGCGCAAAAAAATTTATTTATGCTCTACTTGTTCGCTTGATGAAAAAATCGAATATGAGTTATTGAATGAGCAGAATATGAGTTATTCGCAAATAACGAAACATTTTGACATCCCGAATAGAAATATCTGTGTCTTACTTTTAAACTATGAAATACACATTTTCATATATGATTAAGGTGTTATGTATGTAAACATTGATGTTTACGGATTAGATATGTAAATTCACAAGAATTGAGTGGCATGGATGTAAATCTTCTTTTTTAGTTTTTCTTTTAAAAAAATAGACATTAAATAAAAATTGGAAGAAATGTCTAGGAATTATATCTTCATTTTTATCTTGAATACATATAAATCATTTGTTAAAAAAAGGCTAAAAATATTTCATATATCTTAAAATGTTTTTTAAATATTTTTAATTAATGTATTCATTAAATGAATTAGATAATAATTATATTAGTTAAAAATACATACATAACATTCAAAATATGCATATTTTTGGAACTAACACCCACCTTTTTTTAAAAAATGTTGATTATACAAATATGAATAATTGGTGATTAATTAGTGTTATAATTAAGGATTAACATTTTATAATATTTGATACTTATGAATATTTTATAAAATAATTAACTAATTTAATAATTCATTGAATTCATTGTTTATTATTTTCTTTATGAACTATAATTAAAGTTTAAATAGTTAATATAATAGTGAGTGTCAAGATATATATACAATATATGAACTTAAGGACCTTGTTAACTTTTAAAATATTTATCAATGAAATTAGTTAATGACTACATTAATAAGAAGTTAAATGATGATTAATTGAATAATTAAAATAATAATAATTAATTATTTAATTTGACTAACATTGCATAAACTCATTGAGATGTGTAAGAAATTGCTTAAGTTTATGTAAGTCAAAAGATGTCATTAATGGGAAGAAATTTTAGACAATGTGTTTGAAGTTTTGCATGCATTAGATATATACATACATACCAACCAAAGATTGAGAGAAAAATTATATTCGAGTGGATTTGCTAGAAAAATTTATTAGTTTATTTTATGTCTTGAAATTGAGGAATATATAACTTTTTGAAACTTTTTTAAATTTAATATATATTATATATATGCTCACAACACTCAAATGCTTTTTTTGGTTATAAAAGATTAATTTATAGGTCAAGCAAGTCGTCTATAGGTATGCATATTTTTGATGATGAATACACAAAAGATTAATTTGTAGGTCAAGTTGGCATGTAAAGGTGAACTCACTTTATAAGAAGTGAAACTCGAAGGACAAAATGGGTTAATATAGATGAATATGCTTAAGGGTGTTCTTTTTGTGTTTATTCCTAAATCAAGAGGTTTTATTTAGATGCAAAAGGGTGTGAATGCAATATGTTATTTTAATTTTGTTATTTTGGTTATGAATTTTGATTTTTAAAAATTAGATTTGAGTTATTTAATTTGGAGTAGAAAAACTAATCTTTAAAAGCCCACCAATAAATGCATGCAAAAGCAAACAAACATCAGCCTAAAAAAGTGGGTATAAATCTAATCGAATAAAATAGGAATTAAACAACACTAGCAAAACAACAAAATGGGTATCTGACACTAGACCTAACATAGACTCGTTGTCAACTATGTCAAACTAGTATCATTGTTCGCTCTTTGAAATTTTGAGATTCGTCATCAATATTCATCATTTCATTGTTCATCCTTTTGTTATTCATTTTTTAGATAGTCCTGATGTCCAAAGTAATCAACTAAGATAAAAATCTTTACTCTAACAGACTCAACAAGGAAAGTAAAAATACATTCAATATAACACGCTATGCTTACTACATCATAAGACTAAGCTAGTATATCATAAGCTTACTGTACCACTTTAATCCAAAGTTATCTAGCAAGTAAATAGAATAAAACATTCACAAACACATAAAACATAACAATCCGCCCTCACATCAACTTAGGGTCTGTTTGGGGCAGCTTATTTAGTGCAGTGACATTTTGAAAACACATTTGACCTATTGGGTAAACTGTGTTTTGGCAGCTTATGCATTTTGAAAACGTTGAAAGTAGTGTTTTCACACCGCACCTATCTAGGTGTAGTGACAGCTTTCTGGCAGTGGTCTGTCTCTTCCCAAAAAGTAAAAATTTCTAATAGCCACAACACTTAGTTTCTCAGCAGATTATTCAATAAGTAGCAGCTGCCTCAAACAGACCTGTAATCCTATAACTAGGATGAGTATCTTAATATAATATCTAATGTGTACGATTGAAGGGCAAAGAAGGTAGTCACAACATGACACTTATTATTCAAATTATAATTTTTATTATTTTTGTTCAATTATTATTATGGGATTATTCATCTAAGTTTTAAATGTTTTTCTGAATTTTTATGAATCATTTTCTATTCTAATTTTTTATTGCTTAATTAAATATCATATATATGCTTATGAGGCATATATATACATTTAATACACATTAATATTTTATAGAATATCATAAACCTCATGAGCAAGTATTTATGGATCTTATAAAATAGACAATATAAAATCAAAACACTTTTGGGCAACTTATAAATTTTCGGAATTAGAATTTTGTTCATTTTAAAATTTTTCAAATTTTAATATCTTTTAACTAATGTTTTTTTTTTCAAATTCTCTTGGAATTATTTCTTAAAGTTAATATTGACCTCAAAAATGTTTTGTAAATTTTTTTTGAATTTTTGAATTTTTTTATTTATTCTATTTATTTGAAATTGAAATATGTAGTAAGTAGGAAATTCATAATAATTTCAGTTGATCTCTCAAATCCTTGAAATTTTACAAAGGTGTTAAAAATAATATTTTATACAAAACTTGAAATTTTCATGTCATTCTAAATTCAATTTAATCTTTTGTGAACTATTAATATTATTTAATAATTTAATTATTAAAAATTATTTAATTGAATATTTTTGTATTTGTTATTTCTTTTCTATTTACTTATTCTAACAGTGAAAATTTGGTTCAATTTGGATTCAAAAAGAGTGAATTATGAATATTTTAAGTTTAAAGTGTGTGTGTGTGTCAATTTATTTCAAAGTGAAATTAAAATTATTGATTTTCAAGATTGTATTTAATTAAAATTATTAAATTTATTGGGTTCAATGTCTTATAGACATGAATTTAACTTAAATTTTGTTGTTTTCTTCTTTGTTGATCATTTTATTGAGTTCAAATTAGAACCAGTTGAAATTGGATTTCATAATTTTTAAAATATTTTAATATTAGTTGGAGCCCGATTAAACCGCTGATCCCACCTTCCCGCTCCCGCTCCCGTCCCTGTTCCCGATTGCGAATGGTCGCGCCCACGACCCAACAGTTTCGTGAACTGCTCCCGCCAACTCCCACTGAAGTTCGCGAATTGTCGCACCTCTCCTCCTGTTCATGATCAAATGCTTTAGATGACTCTCCTTTAAGTTTCAAAGTCACGATTTTGGTGTTCTTCTTCAGGCTTCCTCGGGATAGAGAAAGTAAAGCGCAAGCTGCAGTTCCTTGCGACATAAGGAAGAAGGAAGAAGAAAGAAGAATAAGAAGATTGTTCTCCCTTAACTTATTCTTGGTGGCTTGTGGCTGAAGAGAAATTGGGTTTATTTCTCTTGTAAGTTTATCTTCTTCGGTGTATCTCGGTGTAGAGTTTCTTCAGTGTATCTCAGTATAGAGAGAGAATCACAGAAAGAGAAGAAGAGAGAGTAACGAAGTGAGAGATTCCTTTTGTAAGTTGAGGTGATCGACTGGTGTAAATTCCTCAAGTAGTAAAATCCTCTGCAACTCCGTGGACGTAGGCAATTTGTCGAACCACGTAAATATGTGTGTTCCGCTGTGTTACTGTTTTATGGTGTGAATTTCCTCATTTTATTTTTCGTTTCGTCGATCGTTCTCCTGTTTGATTTATATATATATGTCACATCAACTGGTGTATATCTTAGTTCTCAACATTTAAATGTTCAAATTGGTAGTTATTCTTCTTAAGGTAGGCTTGCAATTTTTTTGGATTTTAAAAAAATTGGCTTTACTCACACAAAATTTCAATTGATAATTCTGTCAAATTTTATTATAATTTCTAGATGGTTAATTCACTAAATTTTACATTGGTGTGTTTTAATTGAAGAATCCTTAAAATTAAAGTAAGATATATAT